CCCCATAATAATTTATGTCATCCAGTTTGGTTTTCTTCCTGTATTTTGTTTGAGTTATGTTTATGCCAGAACAGCCAAATTCAAGTCTACCAAAGAAATCTTTGCCATAACTATGAATTAACAAGATACATTAGTTAGGATAAATGTAAATAATTCACAACCAGCAAATTTAAAACACAGAACCTTTAACATAAGATATCCTCACCAGTATCTCTTGGATACCATGATTATTGATGTGTGACTGTTCAGTTTCACATTTTTCTGGCACTGAGAAACTCAAGCATTCCATGAATATTTTACAGTCTGTCATATATTTTTGCCATTATGAAAAATCCTGTCAAGTAGAACCTCAAAATCAAACATTTTGTTCCATGTCTGATGTTTGACAATAATTTTTAAAATATGCTTTTCTGTTTATTATTTACCATATTTGCTGTTCTCCAAATCAAAGTATGTAATGTCCACATGAGACCTCTTAATTTCAACTTGTCATTTATATTTCACAAGATAAAATTTTGTTTTTCAAATGTTTTAATACACTCTCTACATGCTGCAAAACAATTGTTTTCCTTAAATAATTGAAAATAGTTTTTGTTTATTTTCTTTATATTTAATAAACATAAAACTCACTTGAGCTAGAGAGGCCTGTGAAACTCGAGCTATTTATTTCTCTGTTTCCCTTTTAAGTATTGTAGAATATATTTTAATTTGTTTGTTTGCAACCTATATCATGATTCTGTATATTTTCTATTACTTGTGCCATCCATATATAATTATTTGTGAGGTTCTTGCACAAAAGTATGTAAGAACTCTTGGAGATCTTCATGAAGTTCTGTTGAAGAGCAAATATGTTATTTGTATTTTGCCCAAATTTTTAAACAAGCAGGAGAGTGACAGGTCAATTGCAATCCTCTGAAATACTGCAAAAAAGCAAGATGTAATGAAAATCTGCAAAGTGAGTCTTCATTTTACAAGGCACAAGTATTAGAAGTGAAAGTATATTAATAAGTCTGCAGATAAAATTGCAAAGACACTGAAGATGCAACACAGCTAATCTTGTTTATTCAATTAATAGAAATGTGAATATGAAACATATTTTAAGACTTAGAAAATGAACATTTTATGGTCTTTGAATTGGGCATCTGGAGAAATTATACTGTATAATTAGATACTTTGGGTAATTTTCTGGTTCTTGGTCTTACACCATACAACTATTTGCTTAATAATCATACATAGATACAATGCAATCATATTGCTTATCTTTTCCTAGAGATGAAGTAATTCAGCTGCATTTCTGTGACTTCAAATTATGCCACTGATATTGAAATTTAGATATGAGAGCTGATGGCTGGAAAAAGTACCTCTGCATCAGCAGTAGAAAAAGCAGCAGGAAAAATTTAATTACTTACATTTTTCTATCCTGCAGTGTCTACCAAGCTTCTTTTTTTAATTAAAAAGCATAAATCAGCATCATTATAGTCCACAGCTTGTCTTTTCAAACAAAACAAATAAAATAGTTTCCACTACTATTTATATAATTATTTGGAGGCTGAAAATACCTAGTAGCTTCAAAGAATGAACTAAATTACTAAGCATCAGAGAGAATGACAGGAGTAAGGAAAAAGATCTGATCTTTGCCTTAGAAGAGTTCCTGGATGTAAATGGGAATGGAAATGAAAAGGGGTCACCATATGTAGCAACTTCAGTTAATTCAGGAGAGTTTAGGAAATAGAACTGCTGAATCAGTATTGATTCATTCTGAAGTTTTTTCTTTCTTCTGATAATTTGGTTTGAGGTAATTCCTCCTTACTCCCCATCAGGGAAGGCAGTTTGAGATTCTAGGAACTCCCTTTCTGTGGTGATGCAGATGCCTTGACTCACCACCAAGAGCACAGCAGCTGCCAGCTCACTCTTGTCATCCTGCCAAATGTGGATTCCTGTGTGAGGAGGAAAAGGGAACACTGTTCCTAGAATTCCTTTATTTATTTTTTTTTCTTTTTCCCTTCTGTGCAGTGAGAAAAGTAATGAAAACTTGATGGATCTGAAAGAAGAGGTTTGATCTTCATTCCCAAGTGAACAATGAGCCGAGAGGCTGCACACAGTGCAGCATCTGCCAAAGTAGCTGGGTAAATTTACCTGGGCTGGAGCATCTCAGAGCTGTCCCTGGGAGCTGTCTGAGATGTGCCAGGGAGGTGGTTGTGTAATGCTGTGTGCTGTGTTATGTGGGGACTAAGGAGGCGAAACTTCCTTTAGAAATGCATCATAAGATGGTTCTAGGACATTTTGCAGAGAGAAACAGGCATGCACCCAGTGAAAAGAAAAAGAGAAGCATTTTATTGCAATGGTTGATTTGATTTTCTAGTAAATTGAAATTATCAAAAGAAACCTTCAATCACTGAGAAATAAACCACTCAAAACTAAAATAAAAACAACCACCAGACTACAAGGAAGTAAATTATAGGCTCCCTCCAGACCTGGAAACTGTCACATCAGTCACTGATGTGAAAAGGACAGGTTTGCTTGAAAGATTGATGCCATGTTCCCATTCCACCTGAATTCCTCTTGCACAAAGCAGCTGTGCTTCACTCAGGAGACTTCCCTGAATTGGACTTTCCCCTGAAAAAAGCTGCCGAAGTCAATTTTGTCAAGGAAATTACATACATATTTTTAATATAATTTAGAAGCAAGTTTGTCCTGCATAATATATACACATAATGTTTTCTTCAGACACTTAGCAGGGTTACTTTAACTAATAGATAGAACAAAAGAGTCAAAACCAATCTAAATTTTTCAAGTGTGAATATTGGAATTGTGTTTGTCCAGATCAATTGCTTGGGTTAAAATTACTGTGAAGTAATTTTCTGTACTACATACTCTGTGTTGCTTTCAAAGCAAATTTAATGTTTTATACTTATTATAAAATGCTGATCTTCTATTTCACTATAGATCCATTAACTCACCATGTTTAATGATTTAACAATAGAGAGGTAATCTATTGCTTTCAGTGCTGAGCCAATGATTTTTGGGAAGTCTGGAAGGCTTTGCTAAATGACCACTCAGTCTATATGTTGTTCAAATCTGCATTTGCTGTGCAATTTCACAGTACATTAGCTGCATTCCTCAGGTATGTGCACCCATCCACACACTACTGTTCAATCTGCATTGGCACTGAGGGCTAAACTCGAGACTTGTGGAACTCTTCACCAAGTATGGTATCAACACATTTCAGTAAAGGGGTTTAAAATTTCATTTTTGATCATAGGGTTCAATGCTAAAAAGAAAAGCAGATCCCGAGGAAGCTCATGTGACTCTTGTCTGTCATCTGAGCAGAGTGGACAGGCAGAAACACCAAAAATCTCTTGTTTCAAATTGGATGTGTCTAGGGCTTATCCTGCCTATGGCACCAATGGACAGCAATAACCTAATTCTCACAGTATTATGCGCAATAAAGGTATTTTATAGATTTTTCTTGGCAGTGCATTGCTCAGTTCAATCCATTGTACCTGTACCCTGGGTTAGATCTGCCATCACAACAAAAAACAGCTCTGTTGTTGTTGAAATACCAAAAATTTTAATTATCAGGAAAAGTCTAACAATATTTTTTTCTGAAATTGGTGAAATCTGACTCAGTGGACTTTTCTGGTGTGAACAGCTCCAGTGATGGAGAGAAATTTTGCATTATCAATGCATTTGGATCTCAGAAGATATCAATATTCCATCCCTGCTATACATTACATTGTCATGTTTATAACACCTATGGTTTAGTTTCTCTTTGTATTATTATGTATGTGTTGTTCTCAGAATGATGCAAACTATTTTCTTGAACCTGAAACCATAGGTTGTAAACAAGCAGATATTTAATATCTGTTAGTATTAAATGCATAATGAAACTACCCCAATATACAATAAAAAATAATTTCATGTGTCTTTTAAAAATTACATAGTAATGTTTCATGATGTATGGCACAGGAATTTCTTTATTCTAATTTATTTCTGATAGCTGCTTCATTCCCAATACTTTTCTCATAATAAGCAGAACAACCATTTATTTAGAAATTTACTTCCTGTAGCTGGAGTGAAGAATTAGTAGATTTTACTATGGAGTTAGACCAATATTCTTTTTTTATTAAAATTATTATCTAATGGGCATATGCCCATTATTTTCTGGCTTGAAAAATATTAACCTTTCTATAGATATACTGATGGTCCATAACAATAATTTTTTTTGCTTTAGAAAAATAGATCTGTACAGCTGAACACTAGTTTTGATGAGTTTCTTTCCCTCATGTGAAAACAAAGCCAAAGAAAGCCGGGATGATGGATTAGGTTGTAGTCTCCTTATCTGCAAAGGAAGGACTTTCAGAGCCCCTCGGAGAGGTTCGGATTTTCTGAGCTGTGCTGTGCCGAGCCCAGCGCTGGACTCTGGCCATGCGGAGCTCTTGGCTTCGGGTCCGTGCGGCTGCAGCTCCCCGGGGAGCAGGGCCTGGAGCCGGGGAGGCCCAGCTCCGGAGAGCCACGGCTCTTCTCCCCGCCTCGGCCAGCGGGGCTTGGGCAGCTTGGGAATGGCGCTGCTGGCTGTGGGGAGGGATGGAGCTCCAGGAGCTGCTGGGGAGGATCAGCCCGACTGTCCCTGTTCCCAGCAGCGTCCCCGGGGAGCTGAGGGGCGGCGCTGGGGCCGTTCTGAGGAGCGGCCTGCAGAAGCTGAGGCGGCCGCAGTGCCCTCCCCGGGGCTTTTGGGAGAGACGGACACAAGAGTCCGAAAAGCAGGATAAGCTTCTCTCGCTGCCCCTCTCTCGTGCCCCAGGCTGTGACTGAGACAGTTCAAATGCATTTCCCTGAGCTGCAATGCCTTAGGAGGGTGTTCCACCGCCCCACTGTGGATTCATCTCCCCCTGGGGTCAGCCACCTTTCCCCGCTCACTGTCAGAGCTCTCCGGAGCTCACGGCCACAACAAGCACAATGCACATGTTAAATTTGCCAGCTTCCATTTCCTTCTGCTCTCCCTTCTTTTGACCAAAACAACATTACCTCCTGGCACCACTATCTCCCACAAACTGGGGTTTATTTCACTGTTTCTGCTTGGTCTGACTTTGGCTGAACACCATAGCTCAGTTCACTGCGTTTATTGAGTAGTCTGATAAGTACTTTGCAAGGGTTTGTTTTCCTTCCAAAGAGAAAAGCTGCTCATTTGATCATGACACTGAACCAGGTGAAAATTGCTGGATTCACTACTGTTTGTACCAGCTGAAGCTATGACTCAGTACTTGTACTTTTAAATGCTATTTAGAAATACAGTTTATTTATAACATTGACACAAAATGTCCATAAAGGGTAATTATCAAAATATAGTCTTCATTTATCCTTCAGCTATATTACAGATATGAAATGTGTGGAAAATATTATCATTTTAAATCGTATTTTACATAGAGAGTTATCTGATTGCCACCAAAAGGCTTTGCAGCAGTTTTTAATTTAGCCTTATGTATTTTTAACATGGCAGCTGGAGCACAGCATGCATATGGCATATTAATGGAGGGGACTTCTAGTCAGTTCTGTCTGTTCTTGCAAAGAAAAAAGCAAAGAATTTGCAAGAAATAAGCAAAATGTTTAAAATGCATGTTCTGGATAAAAGCAACAGGCACTGCCTAGAAAACTGCGGCAGAGTGCGGGGATTATTTCATTATTCCATCTCTCATTTGTTTTTCAGGGGCTAGCTGGCTTTTTGTTTGTTTTCAATTAAACTGCTGTAGTGTACATTGAGAGCTCTATCATTTATCTATCAAACAGGCAGCTGGGCTTGAAATGCAGCTTTACTGTAAACTCTACTTTCAATTGCTCCTCACTTTGCAAACAAGGAGCCCTTTTGACTTGAAATGCCCTGCATTTGATCATAACATTTTGGTGCTTGTTTGTTTCTGCAAATCTGGGTCTTATTCAGCCTTTTTGAAGGTAGTGTTTAAAAACAAGCAAGCACTTGCTGATTAAGAACATGAAAATAAATGTTTTATATTTTTTATTCTTTTTTACTGGAAAAAGAAAGAGAAGAAACAATGTAGAGATATTGCTATTTTTAAAGCAAATAAGCTCACAAACTTTAAAGTCAGTTGTCCCACTCTCTCATGATACTCTCAGTGGGATTTTTCTGGTAGGCTTCTTTTTTCAAACTGAATTTAAAGTGTATGTGGTTTATAGGTGATCTGGTACATGGAATAAGCTTTTTGCAGCTATTTTGATAAATAGAGTGCATCCAAAATGAGCTCTTAAAACTCAACTTCATCAAAGAGTATTGAATTCAAACTGACGAAGACAATACTGAAACTATAAAACTATGTGAAAAAGAACTAAAATTGCTTCTCATCATTCTTCTCTTTTTAAAGAAAAAATCATAATGTAAAATGCAGACAAAACTCTTGGTCAACAAAGAATTTAAATTTGGGGAATGCAGACTATAGTTTATATTTCAGTTCTGGTCTAAATTTAAAATCAATTTCCCTCTTAATTTTTAGCAGATCCATAAAGAGTGATTTGCAGAATTCTTTTATTCAAAAAAATGTTTATGGACTTGCGAATCACCAATACTTCCTTTCCTTTGATTTCCTCACAAATGCACTCCTTTTCTACCATGTTGCAATTGCACAGTCATCAGTTGTCTGGCCTGTATTAATCTGGTGTTGGGCAGCTGAGTCTGTTTAAGTCCCTGCAGGGGACCTGCATTATATTCCTGGCTTGACACTAACAAACTGGCCAGCTCGACAAGTTTTTCTTTTTACTAGAAATAATGAACCTAAACTCTTTTTTTAAAGTGCCTTTGAAAATTCACATATGAAAAAAATATTATATAGCATTAGGTATGATTTATTTTGGCTTGTAATAGAGTTCCTTTGCAGGACTGTGGTAAATCAGGGAAAGTCTGATTAAATGGATCTGTACCACGACATCCTCTTTTCTTAAGCAAGCCAAGCTCCCAAAATGTAAATACATTAAATGTCACTCTCATTAAATACACATCATGGAACTGCTGAGGAGGATTAAGGAAGTGCAGTAATCTTCATCTTACTCTGAATAACTGCTAATGGTCAATGTGACCTGGACTCAAATTTTTATTGAAGAAGGCAAGTAAAGAGAAAATTTTCCCTTTATGAGCTCAAGTTTCCTACCTTAAAGTTAATGACCTCTGAATCAACACTTGATGGCTTAGCACATAAGCAATTTGGGTTGAGATGGAATACTTTAAACACCTATTGACATTCTGAAGCTGTTTACGTTTTGACCTTTCATGACAGAATGAGTTCAGCCAGCACACAAGAGAATGTCAGAATCTGCTGCAGAAACTGACTGCAATTATGAGAGTAGAAAAGGAAACAAAGGCCTTGGGCAATATTTTTAGATTGCAGAGTGGTGGGAAGATTATGGATACAGTACTTAATGGTGAGGTGACAAGCAGGTACCCTTTTCAAAGGTCACACCTGACTGAGCTGGGAGTGGTTTGTTTGTAGTGATGACAGAGTCTCTTGCTGAAGTGATTCCCATTTGTGATGGCAGGCACTGCCTGTGTGATATTCCTGAATCCAGAGATATGAAAAATAATATTCCTGGAAGTTGGATTGCTGTTTGGCAGACTTGATGGGGTGTTAAATAGGGCTTGTAAAATTATGGTAATTTCCAGATTGATTTCTTTACCGACTCTACGTTAAGATTTTAAACTTGATCATCAGCTAGCACCAGCTGTTTGTTAATGTAAACTCATTCAAGCTGAATCACCTTGCTTCTACTTTGCAACATGTTGTTTTATGTGGATATTGCTGTGTCTTCTGATGTAATGAAGATATGTTGACAAAAATTGTTCAAATATACAGATTCTCTGATTGCTTTTTCTTCTCCATACTGGGCCACCTATAAGTTCAGGAGAAACTCAGTGAATGTGAGTCAGAGTTTTTCACTGCTCTGTCTCAAAGAGGGTGATGCAACCATTTGGCTTGTCAATCTGTGTTCTTAGGAAATCAGAAAATCAAGTGAATGTTCTCAAACTTCAGTGCCCCTTTTATTTGATTTGTGATCTGAGGGAGAAAAAAGCCTTATAAGAGCTGTAAGAAATGTATCAGATGAATGTTGCATCCTTCACAATTTTTCAGATGCTTTTGATCTTGCTGGGGGTTTAACAATGTAATAGAAAATGATGAGGCTCTGACAGCAATTATGTTGGAATTTTTGTATCAGGCACTGAGAAATGCATCCTCTTTGATTTACCTGATACTTGCACAGTGAATCTAATTAGAAGTTAAATTGTTTCTCTGCCAAGTCGGGGTATTCTAGGACAGCTGGGGTTACTCCTGACTGGGAGCTCCCCTGGAGGACCATTCCATCATGTGTGCAGCTGCAGTGCCACAGAAGTTCAGTTAAGCAGGATTTTTAGCTTGGACATACAGAAGGGATCTTGCAAGAGCAAGATTCATGTACACAAAATGATCCCTCATTTCCTTAAGTTGCATCAAGTGTATTTTGCATGGTATCCCCCAAGGATGTGAAAGGCAGGCCATGGCACAGCATCTTCAGATTCCAGACAGAACTGCCAACTGCAGCACTCATTACACTCTTCTGATTGCAAACTTCTTCAAACAGGCTGTAGGCACATGCAGGCTTTTATAGTCTTTTGAATTTTTAAACAACATTGATTTAATATAATCAGCTAAAATAAATCCACAGTCTACCTTAGTGATATGAATAATACCTGAATTTCAAAAATAGAATATGTTTCAGAATAGCTGAAATATTCTATGTTTCTAATAGGCTTTGAATGATACTATATTTATAGAACTAATCCCTGAAAAAGTTTGGTTTCTGATTTTTTTTCCTTTTTTTTTTTTCCCTTAATTTCTGTTTCAGAATAATAAGTCTCTGCAGGCAAGGTACTTCTGGAGGATTATTTGACTGCTCAGGTGGCTGTATGCACTTGACCTTCAGTCCCATGTGACACATCCCTGAAGAATAGACTTAATCCTCTAAAAATGCACTATTTGTTGTGTCTAATGTTTTGAATATCACCTGCCTTCCTGCTTTTCACATCTTAAGAATTGTATTTAACTCCTATTTTTCAGAAGGACAATATAGTCACAATGCCTGCTGGAATTATTGTTTGATTCAGCAAGTAGTGAGGATGGTAATTTTATGGCAAATGGAATGAAGGTAGGATAAGGGCAAGGAACAAAGTTCTCAAGGTTGGAAGGAGAATCTCCTGCTGCTTTATGGTACCAGAGGAACCAAAAGAACTCGAAGGCAGCTCCCTTCCCTGCCCCACTAATTCTGTGCAGGACAGTCTGTCTCCTGGGAAAGAGCTTTGAGTGCATGTTCAGCCACAATGGGAAATCATGGAGTAACATTTGGGTTGGGAGGCAAATGGCAGTGGAGGTTTTCTAACCAGAAAGTTTGCATAGCAGATTTTTATTCTTAAAGTCATTCTGTCTGCCTCTGTGTGACCCAAGTGCTGTATCAAAGCAGCTCAGGGGAGAGCAGATATCACAGTTAAAGCTGAATTTTGGAGCCTGGAAAGCTCAGGCAGTGTGTAATATTTGCTGAGGGACACTGGTGCTTTGGTTACATGTCACAGGAGGGTTATGCATGCTGGCAGCCTGGAGGCTTGTGCCACACATCTTCTCCAAAGGGGATCTATGTGCAAAGACTCAGCAAAGGGAAGCTTTGCTGCCTCTGGACATTAGTTGATAGTTTTAAAGCATTCCTCCCCATCCTGAGAGCAGCAGTGCAGAACCACCTACTAAATCCTCTAGCACAAAAGAATCCCTTTCTCTTTGGAGGCAAACAAGTGTGAAACCAAGTGAGCAGTGAGAAAAGCTGAATTCTCTGCTACTGTTTCATATCAAAGTGCAGAGTTTTTTCCCCTGTGTGTTTCTCCTGAGAAGTGTCTCATGCAGAACGAGAATATTTTTTTTTAAATAAAATGCTGAATTACTGCAGTGAACATCTAGCTTGCGCCACTTGTTAATGTCTAGAACAAGCCCCAAAGAACTTTTTTAGATATTAATCATGCCTGTATTGGTGTCATCCACCTGCTGGCATTGTAACCCACAGGCTCCCTATGTCCCATTAGCCTCTGTAAGACGAAACCGATTGCACTGAGGTATGACAATGCCAGATGATAATAGGGTAGCCAAAGTTGGTGCATTTTTAAATTTGAAAGGAGAGGTTTTCTCATGTACTGGAAGGCTGCAGTGAGCCCCTTAGAAGCAAAGTGAAAAAAGGATTTTTTATTGGTTTTTCTTTGGGATGAGGTGTTTAGAAGCACCTCTGTCTTTGCAGCCAGCTACAAGGAGTTTCTGGATGGCAAAATGGAGCTGTAGCATGATGCTCTCTACATATGGCTGTGTACAGCCAACAGCTACAGCAGTGTGGTAATTTGTACCATATTTTGGTACACAGTACCTAAATGCTGCTGTAGATGCTGGCTGTACATCATTGCATTTAAATCAGTGGACCCCAATTTATCTCACTGTGGGCCAGGGTTCTTTTGTTGGTTGCAGTGATTTCTCACCTCAGCCCACTGGTTTAACATCCTAGCTCACATGGTGAACAGCATCTAATTAAGAGTCAAAATAAGATCCGTGAAGGGTTGCAAAAGGGAAATTTCAGCTGGAATTCTGACTTTATTAAAGATGCATATCCAGAACTTCACAGTTAACTGAGTTCAGATTCCTGCCCTTTGGTGCAGGGGAATCCTGCAAGATGATGAGTTTGTTGCTAGTTGCTCTAAATCTTCCCAGATTTTATCTAGCATTATTTGCTGTCTTTACAAGTGAAAAATATTGTATGCAATACATGATTTTACAAAAAGAAATCTAAAATAAAAATAGAAGAGAGGTATGATGTTACAACATTCTTGCACCTATTACTGCTACTTTATTAATGCATTTATAAGGAAAATGATTAAATATTTATAAGGTTTATTCTGACTTGGTGGGCTGATATTAATCACACTGTCATGTGATAAGGTTGTAGCAGAAAACACATGTATCATATACATGCTGCTCTCTGAAATTCTAATTTACTCTGCCTAATAACTTAATAAATATAATACATGGCATGTGAAAAACTGAAGTAGGAAAACATGGTGATTGAAAAAACAAAAAGCAGCAGCTTTTTCTGCTGTACCACCAAAGCAGTGGGGATGATGTTGAGATACTTATATTCCTATGGACATTGTTACTCACATTTATTCATTCCTGCCATCACCTCTGTGTTTCTACAATATAAGTGACTTTACATTTCTTTTTTTCTCTTTGCTATGCCCTAATGCCAGTTCTAGCAAACTCTCAAGGTAGCAATCCTGTAGTAATTGACTGTTTGTATTTGGATGCTGGAGGCCCTTGGCTTCATCCTGTGCCTTGTATTTCCAAGGTCTCTGTTACCATCTTGTGCTTGCACTCTGGGGATCACCCTTTGAAGTGTGGTGAGCATCTCATCATTCTTGCTGAGATGCTGTGGCTCTGTGCAAAGATTCAGTGTGCTGCTTTAGACAAGATGCTCAGCTGGTGTAAATCAGTGCAGCTGCACTGACTCTGTCAGGACTCCGCCAGCTTGAACCAGGTGAATATGTGATCTCTTTTCAGGTCTCACTATCTCCCAGCAGCTGTGGAATTTGGTTATTTTTTTCTCTAAGAAGCGGTAAGTTTTGCACACTGGTACTCACTGAATTTAGCACTCTTGTTGCAATAAGCAACCTCAATTCCTTCATAATGAATATCAATACAGAATTGTTATTGGTTATCTCCTACTTCTAGGTTCCTTTACACCAAATGAGAGATTCACAGAGTTGAATCTTGCCAGTGCCTTCACCAAAGCTCTATGGTAATTTTTCTTTTTCTGGAAATGCTTTCAAATTCTGTTTTGGTGGTGTGAATAGTGAAAACTAAAAAGTGATGATTTGAAGAGCACTTTGGTCAAATAGTTGGTGCCAGATTGTTTTATGCTGTAGAGTACCCAGACAAAATTTCTGTTCTTACCCAAAATAGAAAAGTGTAGAGGATATTGCTGATAACCTCTTATCATTATGATTTTGGAATTGTCTGTTTATGTCTTACTTTAGTCAGAATTGTACTAGAAATTCAACTCTATATTTAGTTAATATTAAAATGTTGACTTTTCTAAATGGTCTAAAATCTGCACATTAATTCTTAAGATCACCCTGTAGAATACTGTGCCAGACAAAGGAACAGAGTTAAGGTTGGAGGTTACTAGAACAAGGGGTTCCTTAAACACATTCCCTTCAAATCAATATTTTCTTAACATTCTTTCAAACTTATTTATACCTCTCTAGGGATCAAATAATTTTGTCATCCTATCTTTCACTCAATTCAGTTCTGTCTCTTGGCTTCAGTGCCAACTTTCCTAATATATGTGCCATAGTGCCATATTTCCTAATATGGCTGTTGTCATGATATCCCCTGGCTGAAGACAGGCAAGACACAGCTTTTTTCATATTGAGTTAGAAGAAGTTAACCTCAATTAACTTAACAAGTATTTGTGCTTGAGCATCGGCTCTGGTGCAGCTGTCCCTGCTGCCGGTTGGTGGCTGCTAAATTAGAGCTGTCCCCAGCTCTGCACAGCACCTCAGGGCTCCTGCCAGTGATACGCAGACGGTGGCAGGCCAGTGTACCCATTACAGTAATCCTCTCCCGTGTGAATTTGAGCAGGAAATTATGCCCATCATTCATTTGGAAAGCGAGGCAAGTTTTAAAGTGTGTTTTTCATCTCAGTTGCAATGTGGTTTTAAAACTAATCTACCTCAAAGTAATGCTGTTCTGTACAGTCTTTTGAGATTTTCTCCTCAGATTTTGACCTTCCCCCTTTAACATGCTTGTCAGAGAGTCAGTGTATTTTATTGCAGTTGCACAGGCCCTGCCCAGTGTTTGTCCCAAGGCTGCAGGGTAACTCTGAGCAGGTCACTTGTGCTCCAGCAACCTGCCTGTCCCTTCTGTTAGTGAGGGTACCAGAGCTGACACTGTCATAACATCTCCTGGAGAAAACTGGAGTTTACTCAACAGTTGAATGCTTCACATTTCCTCCAATCCATCTGTACTGCATATTTCATTCTACACCTTGCTTTTGTTTTTCTGTATACATGACATTGGATCTGAGAGGATGACAAGGAGCAGCTCCTGACAGAGCTGATCTGGAGTCCTGACATGACACGTGTCAATGGACTTAAGCAACCCCCTCCAAACCAGAGGATCACATACCAGAGGTGTATTTATTATTACCCTGAGAGCTTCTTACACTGCTTGTCAAGCTGACACCTTCATATAACTGATCTCTAGGAGAATCTGCAGTTTGTATAATGCCTGGCTGACAAAACTCAGGGCTAAGGATGTGTCTTGATTCCCAAGTTCTTAATTCCCAAGTCCTCTTGTTAATCTTGGACTCAAGTAAAGGTCAATACTGAGGGTTAATGTTTAGGGTTAATGTTTGTCCCTCAATCTCTTGTTTATCTGTTTGCTCTTGTATATCATTACAGTAAATATTCCTAATAATTCTGCCATCTGATGAAATAATCTTTGCTTTATTATTGTCTGAGAATAGCAAATTTGTTATGTATAATCACATTTGGAAGAACATAATTTGAGTTTAAGCAAGTTATTTTTCTCCCACAGCACATGTATAATTCAATTAACATTAATGTTAAATCTAGGTATCACTTTACCTCTGCTGTACCACACAGGTAATTACTTTCTGGTTAACTTAAATTTCTTTGTAGATGCAGTGATGAAATTATTTTTAATTCACCTGGAGTACTAAGTTTTGTTTGTAGAACAAGTAAATTTCATGTCTGATTCTGTAAATTCTAGCATTGAATTGCTTATGAAAATGGTTTGATTCCCTCTACTATAAATGCTCTGTCTAAAAACAACGTCAAAATACATGAATTGAAACTCAGAGTTAAGGAAATTACTCAAATTTGGAATCTCTGAACATTTTTGCCTGTTGCTTGTTGCATTATATTAGCAATGATGAAAGTAATGACACAGACTCTCTAGCGTTGGTTGCAGAAAGCGAGTTTTTTTCTTCCAGATCTTCTTTTATAGACAGTTCTAAGAAGGTCTGAAAGGTAAAACTCTCATTGGCCATGAAACCAACACATCACCATCATTAGACAGTTGGGAACACCCTCCCTTGACTGTTTCTTGCAAGTAAACAACAAGGTGACAAACAACACCTGCAAAGATTGTTCTCCTTCTCTAAGGACTGTTTGGATTCTTCCTTATGATTTATCAGGCCAGAGTAAGAACCTTGTGTGACTTAGTTTCACACAAGCCCAGGCTAATGCCTAAAACCTAAAAATCTCTTATTTGACCCTTGTCAGTTCCCACAGTTCCTGAACAAGATGTGTCTAACTCCAAACACAAGGGTTGTCACAGCAGTTTTGGGGTGTTATTCACACTGGGCTAAGAATGAATGTAGGTGTCTGCGTGTCCAGCTTGTTGAGCATGGTAACCCCCAGGTATCGGTTAAAATCCAACACTTGATCTTTATGGTATGTGTTGATTTTGACAGGGACACAGTTCATTTTCTTCACACTAGCTGGTATGGGGCTGTGGTTTGGATTTTTGTTGAAAATTGTGTTGTTAATACAGAGATGTTTGTGACTTCTGAGCAGTTCTCACCCAGAGCCAAGGCCTTTCCTGCTCCTCACCCACCCCACCAGCAAGAGGCTCCACAAGGAGCTGGGAGGGGACACAGCCAGGACAGCTGACCCCAGCTGACCCAGGGGATATCCCAGCCCATATGGCACCATGCCCAGCATATAGAGCTGGGGAGAAGGAGGAAGAGGGGAGATTTGGAGTGATGGTGTTTGTCTTCCCAAGTCACTGTTACAGGTGATGGAGCCCTGCTGTCCTGGGGATGGCTGAGCCCCTCCCTGCCATGGGAAATGGGAAATGAATTCCTTGTTTGTGTGTTCCACCATCTGTGATAGAGGTGGAAGAGATTTTGTATCTTTGCTTTTAATGCCCAAACTTTACATGAATTGGCAGGTCCTTGTATGTTGGTTTAAACAAGTCTTTCTTGGGCCCCTTTTTGCTGAAACAACCTTCTAGTCACATCTAATTCTGTTTGTTATTTCAATATATCTCTTCACAAAAGTTAGTCTTTTAACTGACAAGATTTACTGGAATGATACATTGATAAAAAGTCAGGGGCTCCGCCTGAGTTATTTTTATTTTTTTTTCTGGTATTCTCAGAA